ACGATGTCCGATCCGGGAACGACGGTGACGAGAGGCCGTCAATGTTGTGCTCGCTCGAGTTGTCTTCGCAGTCGGTGTCGGACGCGACCGACGACTTGTAGCCGCGGCGCGACGCCTTCTCGTCGTCGTAGTGGTCGTAGATGGACGCTTCGCGCTCGTAGTGGTAGACGTGGTGCTTGGCTTCGAGAAAGTCCATGACGACGTCCTGGCCCTCGGCCGAGAGAGACGTGAAGAGTGCGTTGAGCTGGCGCATGAAGAGGTCGAGCTGGCGCCGGCGAAAGTCGGGCGAGTCCTTCCCAAAGCCAAACGACTTTTCGGGAAACGGGAGCTTCGCAACCCACTTCTTGTCCGTCTTGCAGAGCGTCGTAAAGAAGTCGTGGTACTTGGAGTACCGGATCGGGAGTTCCCAGTAGTCGGTGCCGTTGTCGACCGTCGTGATGTAGACGGTTGTTTTCGACGACCGAAGCACTTCGTAGCGGGGCACCTCGACGTTGCGCATGGTCCGGATGCTCGAGGCGCGCCGGCGCGTGAGGCGGCTCTTTCTATGGAGGAGTTGGTTGAGCGCCATGCGAGGATGCGTGGCGAAAAGCAGAGTGCAGTATGGCGCTCTTGTCTTTTGCAATGGTCATAGACACGTACCCGGCGGCGCGTGCTTCTGCAGACGTGGCAGGGAGGAGGCGGCGCGAGAGAAACCGCACGGGTGCAAGGAGGCTACTGGTGCTGTGGCGACTCGACCGCTCGGTCAACGAATGGGCCATGTGTCACTCGAACAGACGTTGCAATTATGACGCTCGCAGTTTGCGCGCTTGAACCTCGTACTTAATCGAGTTTGCCCTTTGCCACTCATTCGCTCACCCCTCGGCCGAACGACCAAGGATGGAAATATGTATCTACTTTCCGATGCAGTCGGCAGACTACGACGGCCGACTGCATGGGAAACGTCGAACGGTCCGAACACTTGTGAGCGCTGGAGCGTGCTTGGATTGGATTGTACTCTATCGTGGCGCTTGTGGATCGTCTCTGCTCGACACAGCGACGGCCTAAAGACACGCTCGCGAGCGGAGAAGGGATGTTTGTGGGGCGCGATCATTTCGTTATCACAGAGAAAGACGGGAGCGTACACCCATTGAACTAATAGTAAAGGCCCAGGCCACTGCATCGAACCACATGCATCGAGCTCGGATTTCGACCATGCCACGCTTTGGCGCCACAGGCCTGCGTATCGAGGTCACTAAAGCGAGGGTGTAGTCCGGCGGGTGGTCGGCAAGGGTTTGATAGGCTTGCCGCACGACTGCGGTGTAATTGGATGCACGACGTCGGGATCCAGCGTGTGTCGTCTCGGCGGCGAACGACCGAACGTCCCATCGCGCTGGCAGTGCCCGCGCCGCTGATAGGTCCAGATAAGTTCGTTCGGACCTGACATTTGTACGTACGTGACGTACACATGACATACATACATTAAGTACAAGCGTACAGCTGTATTGTACGATCGTGGACGAGACAATGCGGCAGGTCCCGGCTGGGTCGTGTACATCGCTTTTTTCGCAGCGCAGCGTGTTTGAGTGGCGACGGCCCATGGACGCGTGGCGGCGTCCCGTGCCGGCCTCGACAAGTGATCGCATCAGACAGATGCGGCGGCGGGTGTGGCGTCCTGTGCCTCGTTGTGGTGGCGACGAGCAGCTTTAGGATGCAGCATCGCCAGGACATGATACAGTGCCCATCGTCGCGTCGTCGTCGTGGTTCCTTGACGCTCAAAGATCGAGCGGTCAAGCCAGATACGAGGTTCAAGAACCCGCGACACCGATCGCAGTTGCCGCGAAGACGAAGGATGCGCACGGTCCTTGCCATAAACACGCACAGCACGCTCCTTCAACGAGGTTCTGTCCGTTGCCGTAGGTTCAGAGGCATGTGATTTTTGTCGATAAAAATGACTTTCAAGCGATGATTGCGCTGAGCTCTTATTGCTGAATACTAGAGCGAATCAGTGTGCATGGTACGCTGCTACGGTGGTGTACATACCACCAACCATCTCCACCAACGTCTATTATCGACACGGTGTCGAGCCGTCGGTGGTATACCAGTACATGTAGTGGCAAGCGTCGGGCTGGCTGCTGTAGCTGAAAATTCAGCACCTTGTTTTGGGTGACCTGGCTCGCTACCCAGATTCGATGAACTGTGCAGAAGCGGCGCGAAGGTGGGCCTCCAACCCTTTGATCGTGCTTGATGACGCACTCTAACACTGTAAGCGTACACTGAACAAGGTGATCGCAGCGTTGGTCTTCCGCGGACCAGTCTGGCGCCAGCAGACACGGCGTATTGGATAGATCCGTCCGACGACACGACAACGCACGCGCTTGGTGTACAAGTGGATGGTTGGAACGCCACACAATGCCGAGTTCGAATGCGAGTACTATGCATGCCACCCTACTCCGTAGAAGTACATACGTATAGTGCGTAGCGACCTCGGTACAGTACCTGCAAGCACACGAGATCCATGGGCGGAGTCATGGACACTTGGATGGTCGCGGCCGGATATCCGGATAATCCGGATACCGCATCATTGCTGCACACCCATACGAGGCCAGCACAGTAGCCAGACGAGCGTCTTGCAACTGCACGTGCGTTCGATCGAAGAGCTGTTCGAAGGTTCCCAGCGTCCTTGCAAGACTGCTGGTTTCCAGCACCACACAAAGATATGTTGCATGGTCCTACCTTGTTCAGTGCTTGGCGCGTAGCTACTGCTTGCATCCACGGCGCAGTCTGGTGCAACCTACCTACCGGGTACTTTGACTAGTCCATGCGCTGACTCGTACCTCAAAGCATCACCCGTCGCTGCAGTCGGCCGCTTGAAGTATCTCGAAAGGTTGCGGCGCGCCAAAGAGCCGACAGTGCGCAATCGCTCGACGAACCGTGTCGTCGTGCACGGTGCATGGATCTTGCAAGCTGATTTTTGTACAACGGACTACGGTCTTATTGCGCAGCAGATTGCGAGCTCGTTTCGACTGCGAAAGCAAAATCCATTGGAATGCAAAACCCTCTCTATAACAACTTTAGGAAAGGATTCGTACGAACCCAACCATGTCGAGTCACCTAACCTGTTGAATGAAGCAACCCTTGTAGTAGTATCATAAATGTAAAAAATATATAACCCATCGAGTGCCCGTGGCTACTGGGAACGACAGTTTCACACGTCGGTTCATGTGAAACCGCCCTCACGTTGCGTGCGTTTAGACGCAGCGATGGACATTGTCAAGGCGCCGAAAGCGCTGCTCCACGAAGATGCCATGACCAAAAAGATGGAGGGCGACGTCCACGTCCGGCACGGCGACTATGAGAAGGCGATCATTTGCTACAACAAGGCGTGTTTTATTAGCCCCGACGACTTTACCCTCTACGCGGCACGCGGGTCGGCGTACGCCAAGCTCTGCGACTTCAAGGTCCGATCGTCCTCATGCACTCGATCTCTACACACGTCTAGTCGGCCATTGGCAACTTTAAGAAGCTCCTCTCGCTCCAAAACAACCCGCCTCAAGCCATCAAGGAAGAGATCGCAGCTGTCTTCAACGCCCACGTAAACCTCTCTTGACATCCTTTCTTCCTCGCCTGTACACTGTTTAAACGAGGATTTTCTCTAGGGCTACTCGTTCCTCCTCGACAAGGAGTACTCGACCGCGATTGTCTATCTGACGGACGCGGTCGCGCTCGACGCGCTCCAGGCCAACTACTGGCTGCACCGGTGCCTGGCGTACTTGGGCCTCGCGCTCTGGACGAAGGCGCTCAAGGACATCGACCACGCAATTTGCATTGATGCCAACGATGCCGACATCCTCGTGCTGCGCGCCAAGCTGCATTGGAAGCTCGGGCTCATTGATAAGGGCAACACCGACATTGCACGGGCCTTTAAACTCTGCCCCAACCACCCCGAGGTCCTCTTGGATCGTACTGTGGGAACGACGACGACGCTGACGACGTATGCGTAGGTGCTGGACTTCGAGCGGAAAATGTGGCACCAGTCGCAGCATTTACACGACATGGCGTGCCGCCACATTTTGGGCCGCGACTTTGCCAAGGCGCTCGACTGCCTCGACTCGTGCATCAAATTTAACGCCGAGGACCCGAAAGTGCTCATCTTGCGCGCGTCTGTCTTTCGCGAACTTGTACATGACAAGTTGTACACTACAGGTTGCTGACAATAGGTGCATGGCTAGCGGGACTACCGCGCCGCGCTCACGGACGTCGAGCGCGCATCCCGGTGCTTCTTTGGCAAGCAGCTTGGCGACGAGCTGGACCAACACATGCGAGCGGAGGAGCACCCCGAGATTAGCCGGCAGCGCAACCTCATTCTCAACGGTACGCTACATAGTCTGT